TCTTTTACAAATTGAAAATAACTTTATTTTATATTAATATATATTACGTAAATATAAAATAAACCATTGATAAACCATTGTTCATATTGGTCCTACGCATGTGTTCCTCTTGCCCCAGCCGAAGACAGGACCAGGTTAATACAATACAAACCATATGTAAGTTATGAACACATAAATATTAACTCTTAGAGTGTGTTTGTTTGGGGAGTTTGGATTTTGAGTTGGAATTTGAATAGTAAAAATTTTGAATTTGAATAGTTGTATGATGTGATATAAATAGGTGTTGACGTGATATTTTGAATATAAAATTGATTTTTAGTTTAATATGAAAAATTAAAAATAGATATTTGATTTAATGTTTTTTAGGGAGAAAAAATGGAATGAATAGTGGAGTTAAAATCCAATCTCCCAAACAAACACACCATAGTTTATTAAATAAGATATAATTGTTGTTAATTAATTTAATTAGCTGATTTAATTAGATAGATATATTACTTGTTTGTGTTATAATATTTGATAAAATAACTATTCATATTTATATATGAAATGATAATTAAGAATATGTTTATATTTTATATTTTTTAGAATCTTTATAGTATATATTATGTTAAATATTGATTAATTTATTAAACTTATATTTTGAATATATTTATTTTATTTTATTGATTTTTAATATAAAATTTATGTGAAATTATATATATATTAATATAATATTTTAATAAATTTTTATATTTTACAAATAAAATTAAAAAAATAACTTTAATGGCTTTTAATTTGAAAAACTAAAGTTATAATCTTATAAAAATTAAAGTATATTGAAATAATTATTAAAATTTACACTATTTTTTTTCTTTAAAAAAAATAGCATGACAAAGAAGAAAATATAATAGAATACACAAAGTAGAAAAGAAAGAAAAATAACAGATAATAAAAAGTTAGGAAATAATATAAGGTTAATTAAGGAAATAAAATAAAAATGTTAACAGTGAGATATATATTTTTTAAATTAAATAAATTTTTTTCAAAAAATTAATTTATATATATATATATTTACATTACTATCCTAATTTATATAATCATTTCTCTTTTGCCTTCTATATTCTTTATTAATTTTGTAACGAGGTTTTTTCGTTTCTAAATTTATTTTTTTCGTTATTAATGATATTAGAGACGGAATTAAAGATGAAATTACGTTAGCTACTTGAACTTTAGGAACAAAATTCCGTTACAAATATACTATTTTTTTTTAGTGATATAATTAATTAGGTCAATTTGTTTTAATTAAAACATAAAAAAACTTTATAATATAATTAACTTTAAATAAATATTACTCTATAAATATTATAAAATTTTATAGCTTATGTTTTTAAATATTAAATTATTTACTATATAATTAACTTTTATATTTCCTTCGTCCCAAAACAAGGGTGTCATTTCTTAATTTAGTAATTGTACTACCTACCTAACGTAATAAATACCCTTACAATTTACAATATATTATATAAATATTATCACTTTTATAACACATCATATTAATAAGAGTATTTTTATCTTTTTTACTATAAACTAATATAATACTAATATTTAAAAATTTACGTGCAAAAACCAAACGGTGCTGTTCTTGCGGGACGGATGGAATAGTATTTCTAAAATTTGAGATCTCACTTATATCTCTTAAATTTTAATTTAATATAATGTATAAATCAATTATTTTTATTTTTATTTCATCTTATTAAATTAACTATTATTATTATTATTATTATTATTATTATTATTATTATTATTATTATTATTGATAAAATAGTATTTTGGGTTGTAAAGTTATATTTTTTATTAATTTTTTCTTCTAGAAGCCCCTTGGAGGTTTTTCCGAAAATACAATTTTGGAGCCTAAAAGTTACTTTTACTTTTGAGCAAAACCTAATACTCAGAAATAAATATTTGTGTAGAAGTAGAATTCAACCAAACATTTAAAATAATCGTTTTGACTTGTCAAAGAGTTAAAAATTATTCAATAAGTTAAAAATAATTTGAAACATTTGTTATGTTCAATTTGTGTTTTTAGATTAATGTATTTTTTATGTTAAATACGAAAAATCGTGTTAGTAATATAAAAAATAAAATTTTGTATTAAATTATTATTATTTTTTTGTGGGTGAATAAAGGGTTAGTAAAAATTTTGAATTTGAATAGTTGTATGATGTGATATAAATAGGTGTTGATGTGATGTTTTGAATGTAAAATTGATTTTTAGTATAATATAAAAAAATAAAAAATAGGTGTTTGATTTGATTTTTTTTGGGGGAGGGGAGAAATTTTTGGATGAATAGTAGAATTTTGATAAAATTCTTCAAACGAACAAATCCAAAATGTATTATCATAGTGTATTATTTTGAAATGAACGAAAATGACAAATCGAGACTGTTTGTTTTGAAATGAATAAAATATAATATTTTATATACATAGTAATATTTATAAGAAATCGTGTCACCCAAAAAAATAGATTAGGTGAATAATCAAGTTGTTTTCCAAACACTATTATATTAATTTAAACCATGCATAGTCCACGGTATTTGAAATTCTTGATAATATTTCCTATTTTATTCTTATTTAAATATTAGTGTTATCCAAACAATATATATTTATTTAATTTTCGGGACATTTTGTGGACATGTTGGATTGAAATTATATTATGAGATGAAACATATTAATCCAAAAAACCTTTTATGAGGAATAATTCACATTTTGCATCATATCTCATTTAATTTATGGTATGCAAATTAATTTAAAAACATGTAATTGCATTTGCATATGCATTGTACTATACTTCACGTTATTTATGCTCTACTATAAATCAAACGTCCTTCAAAGAGTCAACAATAATAATTATTTTATTTTATTTTCAAAATTTTATTTCCAATTTGGATTACCCTGTAAGACTTTTTTGAGTGTTTTTCATTAAAATAAAATAAAAAAATTAAACAATTTTACTAACCGTACATATATATTTTGCATTTTTACTTACCGTATATCCTATTTGGCAAGTGCTATTATTATTATTATTATTATTATTATTATTATTATTATTATTATTATTATTACTAAGACAATTTAATTACTACTTCGGTCCGGCTCTAAAATTCCATTTATTTTTTGATGTTGATATTTGAATATTAATTATTATATCAAAACATAGTACAAATTAAGAAGAAATTGCAAAAATACTTACATTAGTATCTTATAATATTAATAGAAGGACATTTGTAAAAAAAAAAAATTATAGAAATATAAGAATATTTTTAATATGGAGGCAAGGGAATATAATTTAATAAAGTATTAATTTATAGTACTATTATATTTCAATTTGATATGTGATAACAAGTAAATATTTTTGTAATGAATTGTGTTGATAATATAAAAAAGTAATATTTCATAATGAATTATTGATTTTTTGTAAATGAATAAAGTATATATATTGTATTTCTTAAGTGACATTTATGAAAAATGCATTGTCTAAAAAATATTAAGTGAACAAATTCATTATATCTTACAATGAAATATTACAACAGGAAATAAAATTGATTAAACATTTTTTTATAGTTGTTCTATTAAGGTTAAATTTGATATTATAGTATTATTTCTTCCTCAATTAAATATATAGCCCTACATTTTATTAATGATCTAACGACAATTAATAAATACGACACTAATTCGATTGCAACGATCATCACCGTATCCAAATCATATGTATATAATTGTCGGGACATTGATTATAATACGACAATGTGATCCAACCGAATGTTTCTAGTACAACTACTAGTCTCTAAATTCGCGCAATTCGATTTGGATTTAATTGCTTCGATTCTCATCATACATAAATAGTATGTATATAATTATCGAGATATTGATTATAGGATAAAGTGATCCGCCAAAACATTTCTTGTAATATTTATAACTACTATTTTTGTATATGCGCGCACGACACGTCGCATCAGAAATTTTGTATGAAATTTATTGATCATAAATGTATTTATTTTCTCAAAACAAATAAAATCCATCCGTCCGAGTCATATGTAATTATTTTGTCATTTTCATTTGTCTAACTCAAATATATTCATTTTTTTTAGTAAAAATATTTTTTATTTAAATAAAAGAATATCCCTATACTTTACATAATATTACAAACAATACCATTAAAAAATAAATGAATTTAAAGAAAAATCGTTTTCTAATTACACTATTTTTATAAAATACTAATATATCTAAATTCACGATGCAAAAATCAAATAAATATATATGACTAAAACTGAGAAATATAATAATAATAATACAAATGAATTCACATTTTCCATCACTTGTTGTCAATATTCTTTTGACCATCCTATTTATGGTAAGCAAAAAATACAGCATGGAGGTTCACGTGTATGTGCACATGTATAATTCACGTGTGCCTATTTTAAGTAACAATACAAATGAAATGTAATGATTTTTATTTTTTTTTAATCGTAAATTTCAATTGGATTAAACAATATAGTACTATTTTCGTCCATTTGATAAATACATATATATATATATATTTCTTATTATAAAAAACAAATTATTTTTTGAAAATATGTAGATTTCTCTATACATTACAAATAGTTTTATTTTTATATTTATTTACAACATTTCCCTAACGTTAAATTTAAATTGAGCTCCAATTTGAATTTTCTAAATAAGATTTCATTGTAGGTAACAAATTAAATTACAGTGTCACACCAAACACGCAGCGCACAAATTAAATGTAATAATTATTAGGATTCAACTAAATTACCAACTGAGTAAATTCATAAATTTTCTGACACCAAATCGACAATAAAGAAAGGTAATAATTACACTGCAAAGCTGGCACGCAGTAACCGTAGGGAAAGGAACCGCAGTACATATCCCTGCCGTATATAAATACCCCCTCGCCCTGATTTTAGGGTATCATCTAATCGCCATTTCCATCGACTGTGCTTTTTGATTTCTGCGACAGGAAATATGGACGGCAAGGCGTTGGGAAAAACCGAGGTTGCAAAGACTCCGGCAGCCGCCGACAAGTCTCCGGCCGCCGTCGACAAGTCTCCGGCGAAAACTGTTGCAGCGAGCCCGAAGAAGGAGACCCCGGCGGAGAATCAATCCCCACCGTTGGTTTCGGGGGAGAAGAGGAAAGAGAGACTGGACGAGAAGGTGATGGATTCGAGATCTGTGGTTCCTAAGTTCACACAGGTCTGTATGTATGTATATATGTTGTCTTAATGTATTCCTACTTTCTGTATTTGGATCTGTGAGAAAATCAAATCGATTACGTTAATGGCGATTTCTGTTGCTGTTTTTTTTTTGCAGGCGGACACAGAGAAGATAATCAAGGAGGCTGAGCAATACGCGAAGGATTTGAACGATCGGATCAACAGCCTGCGTTCCGGCATCGACGATGTCCGCGAGAATTCATCTTTGTCGTTGAAGTCTGATTCTTCTGCAGGCGATAACGAGGAATCTGGTGAGGAAAGTGATGAGGAGGTGGACTCCATTATGCAGAGGATCGTTAAGGTTTGGTTAATTAAACATGCATCGATTAATTAAATAATGAGGGTTTTCGATTGACAAATGATTTGATTGGATTGCAGATTGTCGGAATTCGAGTTTGGGAAGGAGGGCGCTATGCTGTCAGAATGATATCGAACAGAACTGAGAGCACTGAAATTGCTGTTGCGATGGCAATCGACTCTCTCTCCCTTTCTGTCTCTGTCAAGAACAGACTTGCTTCTACTTTTGTTAATGCTGCTGCTTACAACTGTTATCTCCTCAATTTCAGCTTTCATGTAAGTGATCTTGTAATAAGTAATAACCTTGCCTTACCTTAGCCTACCTTTCTTACAAATGATTATATATATATATATATATGTATGTGTGTATGTATATGTATGAGCAGGTGGGAGAAGACAGTGATGACAACTTGCTAAGCTTGATTGCGAAGATCAAGGTGGCTTTTTTGAATCAGGGTTTTGAGTTTGCTAACGATATCTGAAGTCATATCGTCACCGTTGCCGTCGCCGTCGCCATCACCATCACCACCACCACCACCACCACCACCACCACCACCATCTGCAGTTTATTTCTGTTTCAGTTTTAGGGTTTTCAAAAAATGGCTTCAAGTAATTTTAATTTTCAGTTTTTGATTATGGATCGTTGATCAGACAATGGTTTTCGTTTATTTTGCATTATGTAATTTGTGGGCAAGATCTCGAATCGAGCTCACTCAACTTGAAGGCCTTAATCAGTTTGCTTGTTTTCTCTATTTATTCATGGTGTCAATTTCCCTGCCTTCGATTTTTTGTTTATTTATTTGTTATTAGTATAATGCCCTTTTAGAGAGGAAGATATTTTATAATTTTTCATAAAGAATATTTAAATAATAATGATAATTGAAGCTAATATTTATTATCATACATATATATACAAAAATCACACAAACTCAAATCAAACATTCGCACAAATTGAAACCAAACAAACCTTATCTGTGTATGCCATTAAGGTTTATTATAATTGAGGTGTGTTACATTCATATATATATATATATATACATATATATATATTCTTGCCAAAGTTACAACATTGAAATGATACATATATATATATATATTGAATTGAAATTTAAATTATTAAAAATAATATTAAAACAATATTTCAACCATGTTCAAAACTAAGCTTGTGTGAACTTGTGTATTTTCTTTCCATCTAATATTTCTTTTTTCTTAAGAATATTACATATTATATATATATTTTTTAATTTAAAATATCATATCAAAAAATTATTTTCACTTCAATAAAATCATTATTTAATTTTTAAGAAAACCCTAGAAAAAGGGGTTGTGCATGTGAAATATATGGCAAAACATGGATACTTTATATACCTAGACATGTACTTGTTGCAACTTCAATGAAGTTGTATATATTTGTGCCAATGTTGTTAATACTTATAGCTCGAGATTGCAATATTGTCGTTAGCGAAATATGCACGGTAACATTTATTGATGATCTAATAATAATAATTAATAAGTATGAACGGTGTTAATCTGCATGCTACAACCACCATCCGTATCTAGATCAAACATATATAAATATCGAGACATTGATTACAAGATGGACCAAACTAACAACTGAATGATTCTTCTTATAACTACTAGAATTTTATTCGGAGACACAGAGGATACAATTTTGTCGTTAGCGACATGTGCACGGTAACATTTATTGATGATCTAACAATAATTAATAAGTATGAACGGTGTTGATTTGATCGTTGCAATCACCACTATATCTAAACCGAACATATATAATTATCGAGACATTGATTACAAGATGAACCAAACTAAGAAGTCAATGTTTCTTCTAATAACTATTAGAATTTCATTCCAAGACACAATGGATTATAATTTTGTCATTAGAATTATATGCACGGTAATATTTGTTGATGATTTAACAATAATTAATATGTATGGACGGTGTTAATCTAATTGCTATAATCATCACCGTATCCAAACCGAATATATATAATTCTCAAGATATTTATTACATGATGAACCAAACTAACCATTGAATGTTTATTTTGATAACTACTAAAATCTTGTTCGGAGACAAAGTGGATTACTATTTTGTCGTTAGCGACATATGAACGGTGACATTTAGTGATGATTTGAAAAAAATAAGTACGAACAAGTTAATTTGATTGCTACAATCATCACTATATCCAAAATGTATATACATAATTATCGGAGTATTGATTACAAGATGGACCAAACTAATTAACAATCGATTGTTTGTGGGTTTGAAATTTTCGGTTTGGATTTTTGAATAGTAAAAAGTTGAATTTGAATAGCTATTTGATGTAATATATATATATTAATGTGATGTTTTGAATATAAAAATAAAAAAAAAGTAATGGTTTGGTTTGATGTGATATTTTTGAAGATAAAAAAGAATTTGAATAGTAAAAATTTGTGTTAACACTCACAAAAGAACACAACCCGAATGTTTCTTGTAATAACTATTGGAATTTTTATTTGGAGACACAATGGATAGAATATAATATACTACCTCCGTTCCTTAAGTAATTATTTATTTATTTTTTGCGTATAGAATTTTGAAGATTAATATTATATTCATAAGTACGTAATACAAATTAAAAGAAAAAAAAGTAAAAATACCTCCCCAAAAAAGTAAAAATATCCATATTAGTATCATATAATACAAAAATAAGATATTTATATAAAATATTATACAAATATAAGAATATTTTTTTATATTAAATATAATGACGTAAAAAAAATGAATATTTTATTGAATGAAGAAGAGAGTAATATGAACTATATTACTAATTCATAATTTTTTCATAATTATTATATATATATAAGGGGCCTATTGCTTTGATAATTTCGTTTTAGTATTTTTTACTACTTATTTCTTATTATTTTTATATAAATATACTATTCATTCATTTACAAAGTATATATATTTTTATTATAGATTTTTTAATTACAAAATAATAATTATTATTTTTTAGTAACTATGGATTCTGTATTAAAAAAAAAAAATTCATATTTTACTATTATATCATTACTTTTATATAAAATAAAATAAAATAAAATTGTATTTATATTATTTTTAACTATTCAATACAATTAAAATATCATTATTTCTTAAATTTTGCGTAAAAAATAAATATATACTTTCAAGTTTGATGAAGGGAGTATTATTCATATTTTTTTCTACAAATACTCCATCCGTTTCATTTTGAATGATACATTTGATTTGAAATACGGTATTTAAGATAATGATGTTTAATTAGTTAATAATAATAAATTATGATATTATTATTATTATTATTATTATGTGATATTTTTGGGAATTTTAAAATAAGAATTAAAATGTTATATAATACAAATAAATAAAAAATATATTTTATTTATTTACGATTAACATAAAATAATTTGATAAAAGATGGAGAATTTTAATTAAAAAAAAGATTACTTGTTTAGTGAGAAAATATAGAAATAAAGAGATTTAAATTGATTTATATTTATAAATATATTTTGAATTAATAAATTTTGTCAAATATAAAAACAATAAAAATATATCATTTCTTATGAAAAATAATTCAAATAAAAAATGCATAATTTGTTGGAGAAGAGGAAGTATTATATTTCAACTACTTTTTCCTCTCTCTATTAATTAAGTGTCACATTTACTTTTTGTATTATTGTATTTAACATTAAAAATATTTTTATATTTGTATAATTATTTATACAGATGTCCTTTTATTAATATTAGAAGACACTAATGAAAATATTTTTACAATTCTTTTTAAATTTTTACTATAATATATTAATTAATAATTAAAAATTAACATGTAAAAAATAAATGAGACCAAACCGACGAAAGTAGTATTATTTCGATAAATATACAAAATAAAGCACAAAATAAAAATAAAATACATAGGGAACCAACATTCTCCATCATTTGTGTTGACCGTACTATTTATGGTAACAGCATGCAATTTCATGTGTGCACATGTACTCTCACACTCACTCTCTCTCTCTCTCTCTCTCTCTCTCTCTCTCTATATATATATATATATATCACACCAAAAATCATACTCCTATCTTTGAAATGTCGACAGCAATTATTTGAACAAACTTTTTATTTTTTCTTTTTCTTTTTTTCTCTAAATAAGAGATTTTTGTGTGCTTAATTAACTTACTAAAACATAATATCCTCATGCATATGGAGTGTCACTTTATTTCTAAATAAACATATATATATATATAATGTCACACTATACAGCACTTCTAACAATTAGGATTAGTCAATTAATTTCCTATAAAGTTAAGCCCATAAATTACTCCCCAAATAAAATCCGAACACTTACCCGACACCAATATTTCCACATTAGCTCATGATGATAATAATAATAATAATAATAATAATAATTTAATTTAATATTTATTTAAAGTATATTAAAAATAGGAGTACAAGCATTGAAATATTAAAATTAATCAATTATATAAGATGTATATATTTAAATGCTAATACAAATTAACGTAAAATTTAAATTTGTAATGCATAATTTGAAATAGAGCGTTCATCCAATATTTTAATTTTACCGTATGATTCTCAATGAATATTATAAAAGTATACATATATAGTATAATATAATATATATTTTTTATTATCCACTCATAACAAAATAAATAATTTATCAAAAATATTTTTTATATTAATATTCCAATTTCTTGTATCCGACATTCAAGAATACATTATTTTTAGTAATGCATATCATTTTTTGTCCGAATTTTTTTATATTAGATATAAAAAAATGTTTTGATAATATTAAATGTAAGGAAATTATAGTGTAGAGAAATAATAAATTCGGACGACGTGTTAACGTGACAGATTATTTCTTTGCCTAAATTTTTAATTATGCTATGCAAATTCAACTTGTATACATATATAATTTAATATTATATATCATATAAAATTTATCCGATCAATTTTTTTTGACATTTTTTGTAATAATTATTTGAATAATTAGCTAGCTCTATAAGTAAAATAGTGTTGTATGGAGTTACGGAGTATATCATATAGATACGAATAGTTGTTTAAATAATTAGCTTGATTTATAATTATTATGAAGTAAAATAGTTTGTTTGATTTAGTATCAATAAGGATTAATTTGATAAAATTATGATTGTATGCTGTAGAAAGCAATGATAAATTTAAGGATATTTTTTTATAAATCTAGTAAAAAGTTTGCAGAGGTTACTAAGGTTGTGTTTGTTTGAAGGATTTTAGTGGACTTTTACTATTCATTTCATTACCAAAAAAAAAATAATAATTAAATCAAACTCTTATTTTTTATTTTTTATATTATACTAAAAAATAATTTTACATTCAAAACATCACATCAACACCTATTTATATCACATTATACAACTATTCAAATTCAAAATTTTTACTATTAAATCCCAACTCAAAATCCAAACCCCCAAACAAACACACCCTTAAGAGGATTAAATATTTGGTAAAAACAATATGACTATGGGTTTTCTGTAATTTGTATTGAAGTTTAGGGCGTGACCAATTTTAGAAATAGTTTAATTTAATTCCATACTATGTTTCATTCGGCCAGCGTCCAACGCTCTCGAATATTCGTTTCTGTCCCCGTATCTTCTACCATTGGGTCGGTTGTCTTCCGTCTCTAGAAAATAT